TAACAAAAACAACATTAACGGGAAAGCGAATACAAATATATACAAGAAAAGTTAATCAACAATATGAATACCAATGCCTAGGTCAAATCTAAATGTTGCTACAATGAAGCTATTAAAGGTTTGATGACAATATTGAAGATGTAATGCATTGGTGGCCATCTTGATCCATGCTTTCATGATACAATTCAGCGATTCTGTTGACCGTTTATCTTCCATGCCTGAAATACATCAGAGACATTTGATAAATCGGAATCCATCATGAATATTCTGATTCTCCCAACGCTTATCAACATGATGCATGCCGCTTCTCACATCACTACATGCACATGCTCATTTATCATGTCGCAAGTTTATTTTTAAAATCATTCATGCGTGTCCTGAGAAGTTTCCAGGAATCTTAACAACAAAAGCTTACCGGTATGCTATTTATTTACTTCCATCTACAACGCAGCCGTTTTGCTATAAGTGCATGGGCTCACTTTTAATTTTCTCTTTCAACTGCTGTTCAGTTCAGCCTTTATTTTCACTCTTATAAACATAAAATATATACCGTAATTAACAGAGCATCTTCAATAAATAACAATACAAAGCAATTAGACAAAAAAGTTATGAGAATGAGGGGTAAAAACAAGAGCAAATAGCTTTATAGTACGTTGAACCCAAAATTAACAATCTTTTTCTTCTGTTTTGGGTTATTGGCGATAAGTCAGTTGTGACTATTGTCGCAAAAATACTTTACGTCACATGATTATTGTCTCTATTTTTTTTTATTATAAAATTTTTTAATTTCATTTTATATTTATCTATTGATCTTTTAAGATAATATTGAAAAATAATATTGTAGCGGTTTTGTGCAAATTGACCACGCTCCCCACTCAGTTCCACATAGCGCTTACCCTAGCTGCCCTTGTCTAAACGATGCCATCTTACCACTCAGCGAATTACATTACGCTGACTCTTCGGCAGGCCTAGGTAACTCAGGCATAGGCTAGGGGGCGTTTGTGTACCTAAGTGTTCCGAGGGGTTCATAACTTCATATTCAATCTCAAAATTTGACAATAAGACAAAATGTAAGCAAAATATTTGTGAGCTTAGTTTGTGTCACTTTACAGTGGAGATTATTTGTTATATCTATATACACATCGACACATCGACACATATATACACCATATATAAATATGCATATAATGTACCTACACACATGCATATGCCTCTATATTCAATAATATATACGTAAACTATCAGACGGGCTTGTCCAAAATAAAGGATTTTTTAAAGAGTATTTTGTTAAAATACGTAGTTCTGTTAAGTACAGCTTCTGATGTTCACTTCTTTATTGAACCTCTTGAAATTTTGAATATTCATGTTGGGATTTGTTACATAACTCATTTTTTATATATTTTATTCATATTATTATCGTTATTACTATTTTTCATTGTTGTTGCTATTTCTTATTACATTATGTTATATTTTTAATGTACCGAGTATAATTTAGCATATAGGCCATTATATAATATTGTATTATGTTTACTGTTCATTGTTCTCTATAAAAGGGAGGTATTACTTCCTGATAGGAAACAGTTTCGTTCTGAGAACGAACCGTACAACAGCTTTTTGTATACTGGACTCTTTTTTTTTTTTTTTAAGTATTCCATAATTTTTTCCGGTTGAGATTCGTTTATTTCTGTTAAAAACATAGCCCTTACTATGATGTGGTTAGGGCAATATACTAAAAAGTGTTTTACTGTCTCTATTTCTTGGTTACTATTACAAAAACCAGTGGGATGAATTTTTAATCTGAGGAGATCCTGATTTATAAGTCCAATGACTCTAAAGCGGAGTCGATGAATGATTGTTGCATGCTGTCTCTCTAATGAATACATAGGGTAGTATATAACAAACAAATAAAATAAGGAAACAAACATGCAATATGTAACATTTCTCATTATATAAAGTTAAAAGATGGAATTTATAACAGGATTTGTTTTTATTTATTTATTTATTTATTAGTCTTATTTTAGTTGAGTGGCTCCATCAGTTAAACGATGTTTTCCGTGGAGGCCCTACAACATAAATACACAATTTACAAACATATTGATGTCGTGTGAATTTGGAACAACCACAGATCAGATCAGCCTTGCACAGGTGTTTTTAACCTGTTGCAATCTCACTATTTGAGAGTCGGGGATCCCATACAGTAGACCATTACAATAGTCCAACTTATTGGTGATACATGCATGAACAATGCCTTTCGTAATGTCCTCTAAGGCTCTAAGTATTTGTGAATACGTCTGAGATTATAGATCATGTATAGTATGCTGATTTACAAACATTTGTGATGTGCTTTTTCATATTCAAATGCGCATTGAACTGTACTCCTAGATTTCTTGCATTAACAGATGGTTATTTTGTATGATACGATGAGGTATACCTCGTTTGCTATCTATCCATTATTATTTCAATGAGTGGACTCATTGATGTCTGTATGTAACTATGTATTCTGCACATCTGTGATATGCATGTTCAAGAATTTGATAATTTGAAAAGATGGCTACTATTTTTTTAAAGGTTCTCTTGCCATAGAAAGTATTATTTAGTGAGTTTATTTGACATTGATTTTTTGTGTGGACGACTAAAACCTGAATAAATGTATATTTTGAATAAATAAATAAATGAATGCTCAAATTTCTGTAAGTTAGCTTGCATGTGTGTATATTGCTTATTAATGTATTCATTTCAGTACTCGGGAATCATTCTTCTCATTAGCCCTGTACTCCTAAATAAGTAGTAGCCCAAGGGTCAAAGTATGTATTGTTACCACCTTGAAATGGGTGGGGGGGGGGGGGGGATGGGCACTGAGAGGGAGGTTGAGAAAAAGAGTGATATAGAATAATTATTTATGTACAAGAGACAAGAGGGGAGTGGGAGAATAAAAAGAAGTGGTGGAGAGTTGCAACATTACATTTTACTGTAAAATCATTCATCATTTCATTGCTGTATTATCATATTCACGATTCACATCACACAACAAACCCATCCATTGTCACTACATTAGAAACTAGTTATAAAAAGCCTCTGATATACAGTAATAAGTTCTGGTCTCTGCTCTTTGCATCATTGTTTTTTTGGCTGATATAACAGATACCACGGTAATTTTCATGGTTCGATTGTCCTTGTTATTACGAGATTCCACGTTAGCGCTGTACGCATTACGTTTGTTTTAAAAGCCAAGCAGTTCTTCCCACCCGAAATAAATCAAATTCATTTTGTAAGGCCGAATGAGAATCTTCCTCAAGAATAATATCCAATTGTTGATTTGTGAGACAGGTGCCATGCCCATCAGAGGCAGACACCGGCGCTATACAAGAAACCGTCTTCATCATCACCGTCTTCATCATCACCATCACCACCACCACCTCCATCATCATCACCACCACCACCACCACCACCTCCATCATCATCACCACCACCACCACCACCTCCATCATCATCATCACCACCACCACCACCATCACCACCACCACCACCACCACCACCACCTCCATCATCATCACCACCACCACCACCACCACCTCCATCACCACCACCACCACCACCACCTCCATCACCACCACCACCACCACCACCACCTCCATCATCATCACCACCACCACCACCACCACCTCCATCATCATCACCACCACCACCACCATCACCACCACCACCACCACCACCACCACCACCTCCATCACCACCATGATCATCACCACCACCACCACCACCACCTCCACCACCACCACCACCTCCATCATCATCACCACCACCACCACCACCACCTCCACCACCATCACCACCACCACCACCACCTCCATCACCACCACCACCACCTCCATCATCATCACCACCACCACCACCACCTCCATCATCATCATCACCACCACCACCACCATCACCACCACCACCACCACCACCACCACCTCCATCATCATCACCACCACCACCACCACCACCTCCATCACCACCACCACCACCACCACCACCTCCATCACCACCACCACCACCACCACCACCTCCATCATCATCACCACCACCACCACCACCACCTCCATCATCATCACCACCACCACCACCATCACCACCACCACCACCACCACCACCACCACCTCCATCACCACCATGATCATCACCACCACCACCACCACCACCACCACCTCCACCACCACCACCACCTCCATCATCATCACCACCACCACCACCACCACCTCCACCACCATCACCACCACCACCACCACCTCCATCACCACCACCACCACCTCCATCATCATCACCACCACCACCACCACCTCCATCATCATCACCACCACCACCACCACCACCTCCATCACCACCACCACCACCACCACCTCCATCACCACCACCACCACCACCACCACCACCTCCTTCATCATCACCACCACCACCACCACCACCTCCATCACCACCACCACCACCACCACCTCCATCACCACCACCACCACCACCACCACCACCTCCTTCATCATCACCACCACCACCACCACCACCACCACCACCTCCATCATCATCACCACCACCACCACCACCTCCATCATCATCACCACCACCACCACCACCACCTCCATCACCACCACCACCACCACCACCTCCATCACCACCACCACCACCACCACCACCTCCTTCATCATCACCACCACCACCACCACCACCTCCATCACCACCACCACCACCTCCATCATCATCACCACCACCACCACCACCACCACCACCACATCCATCACCACCACCACCACCTCCATCATGATCACCACCACCACCACCACCATCATGATCACCACCACCACCACCACCACCTTCATCATCACCACCACCACCACCACCACCTTCATCATGATCACCACCATGATCACCACCTCCATCATCACCACCACCATCATCACCACCACCAACAAATTACTTCATTGAAAAATATTTCCAATCAGTGAATGAAAGCATCTTACAACTCCTTTTGCAGTATTCTTTGAATGTTTTTATTTCTTATTTACATGTCCAATCATATATATCACTTACGACATTCATTCATGATCATATTTATAGAAGATTGATTGACATAAAATTCTCAGCTTTATACATGAACACAGTATTCTCTTTTTTTTTGCTTGGATGCCCTGTACTCGCATAGTGTACATCCAATGTATATTTGTTTTCCATAGAATACATTCTGTACATAAAAACAGAATACATTGGACCTTATTAAGTACATACATACTATGTACACATCCAACATCTGTACAAAAAGCATTTTGAAATTATGTATAAAGTTAAAAAGATTTCATTTGTGGCAAATATACTCTTAGAACATCATGGTGTGATTTTAGGATATCAAGCATTTCATTTTTTTAAATATAAATATATAAGGTGAATAATACTATAAAATTTTGAATGGCAGTTCTTTAAAAAATCAAATGACTGCCTCAATTCTTTACATTTAAAGAACATTGATAGAAAAAAATGTTATGCAAAGGGGAATACAGACCTTAAGTTCAGAAAATAATCTGAATAAAAGTCAGGCAGCAACAAAATTTGTTAGTTTCTTTTAATTTCTGATCCAGGATCTTTTGTTAGGTGAAGGTGTTTTGTGAAAATCCAAAAATTCCAACTCTAAAAGAAGTACCATTATTTCTTTTTTAAATAAAATGTGTCAATATACATATAAAATTGGGCAGTACAATTTCCTTATGCTACAAAATTATTAACCCCCTACATAACTAATCAATGTTTATCATATCATTTTACTCATACATTTACATGGAACTGAATTGAGACAAGCCTGGGCCCAATCAACCAATAGTTTAAGATATCAGGTCCTCCCATTCACTTCTAATTAGTAAGCCATGATCACTAGACCTAAATAAATACACTAGTCTTTAAAAAAAAACTAGATTTGTTCTTCACATACCAAAATAACTAGTCTATTTTGTCTTGCATTAGCTACTGTTTCATGGTTTTGTGATGTGATAAAAGCATCTATTTACTGTACAGATTTTCTACTGTTTTGGGATCAAAATGCAGACAGCACGACAATATAAATCAAACAATCTGCAATTCTACTCTTAACTACTTTGGCACAAACTGAAACAAACTTTTCAAAGACAAGTTAATCTAAATTTAAACTAAGTTAGGAATTAATGGTCTGGTTTACTATTTTAGATTTTCCTAAAATGTGAGATAAATACATCTATTTTGAGAGAAAAACAGTGTCTTGTTAAAAAATTGGAAAGGAATACAGTATATTCATTCTCCAATGTGGTACTTGTATAAAAGTAAATGTACACGTCTCTACAAGTATCTGCATGTATCTAACAGGGCACTTTAGAGTACACTTGTAATATGCTTTTACAAAAAATACAGATTTCATATTCAACTATGAAACAATTACTACCAGATATACAAAGATGCTATGTAGTACCAAGTGGATATTTATATTCAGCCTTCTGATGTAAAAATAACGGAAATGCCATTGACAAAATTTGGTCACAATGAGAGTTTTAAAAAAAGGGACTACTAAACGATCGATAACAAAAAAGAAACCCTGCAAATGCTATTAAACTGAAATATTAAACCACAACTTTCAGATGTAAATGAACGGATGCGCAATGTACTACATGAAATCTCTTTAAAACAGTATGCTAAAATGATGTAGGTAGGAGACTACACATCTTTTAACAAAAAAATACCAACAACCTCAACAATTCTATTATTGAAATAAAAGAAATGTATTCACGATTATTCACAGTACTACTAAAGTTACAACTTGGGCAAGAAAAACACAATAAACTGGTTCATTTTTATACTTAAATTTTTCAATTACGTTTACTTCTTTCTTTCTGGGAATCTTTGAAGTAGAATATCATTCAGGAATTGCAAAATAAGTTATTTGTATTTTCAGATAAGCCTGACAAAGAAATAAGAAGCAATTTACAATATTCCTGTTTGTCATAAGTGATTTTTTTCTAACTTGACCTGTCAAGTCCAGACCAGAGATTTCAAATATCCATTAACAAGATATATCATTTTATCTGGTTTATATGACGACATCTCGGATAAAAGCACCATTACAATGTGCAATTTCTTAATAGTGGTTATGACAGAAATGATCGTTCATTTCGTAAAATAATACAAACCCCTCGAACAACAGAGGTAGAAATACCATTATGTAATCAATGGCATTCAGGGCTTGCCATAACAACAGGACTAAAGGCAGAACAAGTCATTAAATAAAACAAGAAAAAAAAAATCCATTTATTCAATGGTAATGCTTTGTAAGGAGTTGTAAAAGTCCTCTCAGAGAGTAATGGAAATCTTTTTTCCAGTCCGAGATTTAAAGGCAGTATTCCTCTCCTGGAGGTTGTCATCTTAAGATTGGGATCACATCAGCCTCTTCAACTTCCTGAAAAAAAAGCTCTTTGTTCTCATCACTTGACATTGTGGATCCTAAATGTAGACGCACCATTCACATCCTAGAGAATGGGTACCAGTCTTCAAGTATTTCATCAAGATTCGGATCACATCCCACCTTCCATCGATGTGCTCTTTGCTCCACTATTGGCCATCTTACATAAGGTTTCCGTCCCACATAGTTCGTCAAGACTTGCTTGACATTCTGATTTGATCAGTCCTTCTTCCTCTTCAAAAGTACGCCCTTTGCTCCATCACGATCTTAGATGCATCAACCTCATCACACAGGTGATGTTTCCAATCCCTGTTTCCTTCATCCTCAACATCAACATGGTTGGCAAGCACTTTTTACGATCCGTCGCTTGTCTATGCGGACGACTTATTGTCATTCGGATAAACCAATAGTTCAAGCTGACAACACCGACCTCCCGATAGCTCTCTTTGTCTCTTCATATGAATGATTCAAATTCTAGAGTTCACTCTCGTCGCAAGGTGTGATAGCATCAGCCAGTTGTCATGGTAACCATGCCTATGATGACTTTGATGTCGTTGATGTACATTTCAACCTGCAAGGTGGAGACAAAAGAATAATTCAATCAGTAAAATTGGAATAGGGACTGACATGAAATTATTTCAAGTCTCTGCATTGATACATGTATACATTTGACCAGACTGGGGGAACACAAGTAGCTTTGGTGTACATGTGATGAAGAGGCTTCTTGTGATGGTGTCTCACAGTACTTGCTCTACAATTTCTCACAAAATCAACGTTCTTGGTCAAACTATGTCAAATTAACATTAGTCTCTTTTAAAATCATAATTCTACATATGCTACATGGTATACATGGTACATGTACGTATGATAACTACAAGCATGAATTTCATATGAATTTTCTTGATACAAACAGCATGGACAATCCCCCTTCTAAAAGTAATTGTACCAAATTCCATTCCATTGCAATCAACTTACTTGAGAGATTTGTACTGGGACTTCTCAAAATCAGTCTCTGGACTTTCGCTTTCGTACGAGGCAAGATTGAGAGCTGTAAGAGGAACAAAAGTAATACAAAGGTTAATCAAATGATAATAGCTAAGTATGTATTACGATCTATTTAGAGTCAGAATGGCATTAATTAACTCATATGTGCCCTTCTTGCTTGTAACAGATGATTTTTTAAACAATCTAATACTTTTGAGGGCTATGTCATGCTAAATAAATATTTCTCATGTTACATATACATTTCAAAATAAAGTACAATTTTTTTTTTTTTTGGTGATAAAATAAAAATCAATAATACATAATAAATTACATAAAGATAAGTGGTCAATATAGAGTACTGATTTAACCGAGAGAAATATGATGGGACCTACAGTTCTATAGCAGTTTAACATTTTGTTGTAAAAAAAAATGTTTAGTGAATTCATAACAGATGTAGTGTCATTTGAGGGCAAATTTACCAATTATAAAAGTTACAATTTTGCAGTCTTATGGGAAATAATGGAAGAAAATCATTGATAATTTGTGTATACTTACAGTTCTCTGAGAATACCGGTGCAGTGAGAAGGTAGTTAAGGGCTTGTCTGTCCCTGGGGTAAGGGCACTCTACGGTCTTCCACGAGATGAAGTTTGTCACCTGCTTTGCAAGCTGCCAGAATTTCTGTACATGAACAAAAAATATAAAAGAAAAATAAGAAACAATTCATTTAAAAAATGCTCAAGACTATAGATGATGCTTCAAAGTAATGTTAGTATAATGTTAAACATTAAACACAAATGTTGAAAACTTTTGTTACTGTCAAAAGATGATGAAATAATATGAAACAATTCATTTTTTGAGTTGTTATTCTTCACATGTCTAGTCACCAATGGTAAGCTTCATTTGAACATTAAAATATATCGTGATATAAATTGGTGGTCTAGGGTTAGTTGTTACTAAATTCATTTTATATCATCAAGGTTACATATAGACAAAATATCAAGGAATCTTTGCTTTCTAAAGAACATGTCATGGTGAGAGCATCCAGCTCTAGTTAATCTAAGTCTTTGTGAAACAGGCACCTGATCTATTTATAGAACTTGCACAGCCTCCATCTACTCACCTGAAAGTTGAGGTAACCGTTAGCCATCTTATTGCTGCATCCCTCGTTGAGGAAGTAGAGATCCTTGACGAGTAAGCTGAAGAATGGGATGACAATCTTATCGCAGGCGCCTTCCTGGGCACTCATCGCCCTCTGCATGGCGGCTTGTAACGATTGTCTGTAAGTTGAGAAGTTGGATGTGGGATCCATTTGATGCTACAGAGAGGAAAAAATAAACGAAAGTGTCTTACTCAATTATCATAATCCTTTTATTATTGCTTATTTCTACTTCATCTTATAACTTTATCAGACAAATCATTAGACTTTAATTTTTAGAAGTTTTTTTTCAATGTAAAGTTTAGAATTTAAATCTAAGTCAAATTAAGAAAAGGGTCCATTTCATGCTTATTTTCACTTCATAGCCGTGACACAGGAACACACATTGTATAAATCAATCATTGCCATTGTATACATATTATTTGAAATGACTGCCATAATGGACTTTTGTATCTGCTCTCTCTCTCTCTTTGCATATTTTGTTTAACTCATCGACTACAGGAATTCAGCAGTCAAAGGTTTAATATATATATATATTCACAGGACTGATTATCTTGTATTTAACATCACACGAAGGCTTCTTTAAATCCAGTAAATGCAATAGAAACTGAATCAAAGTTGAGATAGATATTTACCTCTAAGCAGTCAAACTTGTCTGTGTTGACCTTGTTCCATGTCTTCTTTAACCTCGCAACAGGGCACATGTTAAGACCAGCTGAAAAGACAAGAAAAGATTTAGTAAAATATTAGCACACAACAAATAAAATGTGAGCTTCAACTCAACACAGTAAAGATTGTATTGCAACAAATCATATTAAGTGTTTTTCTTGACAGACAGGATAATATAATTATACTCATTTCACTTTATTCATTTCTCTCATCTTTTCTTTAAAATATGCTGTGAGCACCGATATCGGTAGCCTAGCAGAGCCGGGGTAATATTGGAGCGCTTTGAGCACCTTGCAGGGTGGATATGTGCACTATATAAATATCCAATATATTATAATTTATTATTATTATTATTATTATTATCAAGCGTAAACACTCACACATGATGGCCATGAGAGAGTTGAAGTTGCCGATGTTGAAGCACTCCCGGGCGACGTCGGTGAAGTACTCGATAAGGCGAGCTCGATGCTTCTTCTTTATGTGCATGCAGACCTCTGTGGCCACCAGGAAACTGAGTCGGTTGAACCACTCGACGTACGCCTCAAGGTTCTTGGTCCTCTTTAGGTCTTGGAACTTCACCGTCTACAAGAATAGAACAAGGAAATTACATGTTACTTTGAATAAGATTCTGAAGTAAAAATTTACTTTAGTAGTTAAGTTACTTGAGAGATTTCAGTTTCAGATTCAGTTTTATTTTTCATTTCCAACAGAACAGTAATTTTGACAAGAAATTGGGTATACAATTCAACATTCAATAATATAATACATGTTACATGGTTTAAAGTTATGAAATAGAAAGTATACATAAAGTTATTTAATTCATGAAGAAAGAAAGAAAGGTTATTATAGGTGCACAAGTACACTGTATGTGTCCTTTAACACGTTAAAAGAGGTAGATAAATAGGTCGATCATGTAATAGGGAGAACAAGTGTATACCGGTACAAAGAATGATCAGTAACTGAAAGTAAAGTTATTAACATGTTGATCATTGATTGAGACAGTGAGATGGAAAAAGAGAAAGAGAGGGAGAAACATACCTGACCGTCGCCATCGTTTTGTTTGATGAAAGATTGCACAAACTCCTCTGGCCCAATATTTGTCAATCTTTCCTGTAATCATAGAAATTATAAAAAATGAATATAATCAAATCAAAATCATGCATAAACATTCTATATCAGTCACTATTCTATACCATATGAGGCATATTTTTTAAGAGTGCAAAGTATAGAAACAATTATAAAGATAGGAATTGGGTCATGTCCATAATAGGGCAGTAAGGATTCAATTGTTTACGTTTAGAAATTTTAAAAAGGAAGTGGGACTACTACACAAATGATAGTTATTTTATAACCACAAATTGTTAGTTGTGGTGAGGATTCTTTGTGGGATACCACACAACTACCAATGAGATAAACACCAATTGTTCACTGTACCAAGTGGCCATTGTTTAGAAAGAAATTGCTCTTAATTTGATGTAAACATAGAAACCCCCAACTTTGTCATCATCAATCAATGACAATTTCAATACATCATAATAAATATCCTTTTAAATTAGACTACCATGTCCAATGTCTTTTAACCAGTTTCCTGCAGACACAACCACACAATTATGAAAGAAGAGCTAGTCACTGCATGTCATTGACCCAATATTGTGCACATACATGTAGAAAAAAAGAGAAAAAGAGACTGGGCCCAGGATGATATAAATACTGATGGGGGTCTCACCAGTTCTATGTGTGTAAGCTGCTGGGCTAGGACATGGGGATGCGGACAAACGTCCATGATGTTCATCTGGAAAGAGGCAGGGTTCGCTCGGAGGGCGTGCATCCTTTCTGACGCCGCCGTGTTGACCCTCGCTAAGACATCTTCGTACTTCTCTAACGTGGCAAGCTGTAAAGAAGCAAATATTGAGAATAAGATTAAATCATTCACAGTTATTAATCTGTCATTATCAGTTTCACAATTGCTTTGGACTTTGTTTACAATCGGTATTTCTCATACCTAAAAAAACATAAAACTAACATGTATGATTCCATTTGTGGCAATTGAAATGCATCCTAATTATAAAAATTATTAAAAAAATCAAAAAAATCACACCCACTAAGATCTTCCATTCAGTTATTACTTGTTATATTTCCTCCCATTCTCTATATTAACCTCTCAAAGGCTCCCACTCATTAACCCACACACTTTCCCATGAAGGCAGGTACTTCAGGTTTCAGCGATAGAGGGATTCATCAATTCAAGATGGATGAGATACTTCCTTGTTGTCAATCACTTTCTCTTCTTCCTTCCTCATCCCACGCTCCTCTCTAGATCACAATATCTTCCGTGTCATCAACCCCTTTCGGTCTTAAAATATCTTTTAATTTCTCTCAGAATTCAATCCTCTGTTTTTACAGGCTACACAACATCGTTCCTCGTAGGCGTCAGCATTATCTTAACCATTATCCTCCCACACCTAATAATGTGTTTTCTTTCATTTTTCATTTTTCATTTCCCGCTTGATCGTTTATCTTCAATATCCTTGGTACTTCCTTGAGAAAAGAGTTTGTTCTCTTCTTTCATGTTTGATGAGTAGCTAGTCAGTAGTGTAGCACTAAGAATCTTAGAAACCCCACGATTCTAATCTTAATATAACATCTACCCCTTCTTCTTACCCCTACCCCTCCCTCTAACTCACCCTTCTAATCAAGCCCTGCATGAGTTGTCCGGCACTTTTCCTGAGGGTGGGGTCGATGGCGATGCACTTCTGTGTGATGTCTTTGAGATGTCTCATCATCCTTTCGTCTCTATAGTCGTATGGGAAAGTCTCTGTCCACTCACTAGAAGGAAAAAAAAGAAAATATTTTAAATATAATAACTCAATACCGGTAATTACTTCTTCAACAATGATCCATTTCAGTATGGCATAAATACCATCAAATGAACAGTATCTCCAAGAGCTTCAGAAACTACTACCCTTACTCTGGCTCCTATGGCTGTTATCATGAGCTGGGTAGAGAGATATATACTTGTCAAAGGACAACTACTACAACCAAGGACTTAACACTTTCGACTACTCAATTTGCATTTAGAGGACGGTGATCGTGCGCTGAGAGGTAGAATGACTAATAACTCCACTGGTTAACAACCTTCTGGCTCTCGGCTGGTGTCATTAACTGGAAGTTTATAATGACATCCTAAATATTATTATGATCAACTACATCAATGACAGCAGATAAAAGTACATTGCATCCAAACTGGCCTCACTAACTTCACTTTTGAGCTGCATGCATGGCCATGACCGTATGAAACTAACAATCCCTTGAACATAAATTCATTTTCTTAACCTAGGGTTACCAGCCCCGGGTGCATGAGGTCACGCTAGACAGGAAGTACAATGAATGAGTGAGGTCACTCTCTCGCCGCTCTTTCCTATCGGAAGTTATGAAAGGCTGGTAGTAATTGGAGGCCTAGTTGCCTCTGAATGGGATCAATCTGATCATAACAGAAGAGTTTTATTGCCCGTGAATAATCGTTGTAAATCCATTCACGTCCTCCGGCTATACATTCCAATTAGTAATTGAATAGAAGAGGAGACAATAGAATACAGGTACAAGTACAGGTATAGATAGAATCCTTTCTATTTGATAATGAATCCATTTGCATCGGTACGTATTAATAGGAGCACTATCTGCATTGAATAGCCAAAAGAAAAACTGCATGTTTGCTTACTAAGAGTGGTGAAATGTTGGCTTAACCCCTCTACACTGAAGCTAGTATACTTTGTACACATACCCTAGTTTAAACCCATTATGAAAAAGTGATACCGGTCTCCAGTGAGTTCCACTTTTTCCCATGAGTTTATCGTTCTATTCAAAGTGCAAATGCATAGCTTATACACTTGCCCTAGGTTCATTTCAAGTTCGCTTTTAAGTTCAACTATCCAGACGGTTGAATGACAGTTGACGTTAAAATCAAACTAGCCTAACAATGATAGATTCAAAGAAATTGTCACTTACCTCAGTAATTGCATAAGATTTGGACCAAACTTTCGGACAACTTCCCTGTCGACGTCCTTCGATGTTAGCCTTTGTTGTCTGATGCACACCTAAAGGGAAATTAATTTAATTCAAATCTTTAATGTTGACTTAATCATCAGCTTGTCGCCCTGTTCCTTAATTTTTAAGATTTATTAGATCTTTTTGAACCTGCTATCCTAATTTAGAGATGTGATGTGTGTGATTCTCGGATACCAACTGACTATTTTCGTGAGAAGGGTGGCATAGATATAGGAACCACAACGCTACCATCACAAATCACCATGGTTATAACCATGCAGTCCAAAACAAACAATGGAATATCAATTATGAGAAGTGTAAACAAATAAGCTCGTCAATGACAAAAGGAACAAAAAAGCCACAACGTAACCAAACGCTAGCTATCCTCCCACACATGTACGTATAAATTATATTACGTTGTGTTGATTGTATAAACAAGACGACGTACATCACAAGCACTGGACCAGGACTCGTGTTGCACACTTAATATAGCCCACTGGTACCGGAAGGAAGAGATAGGCTTGAAGTATTTTAATGTTCTGGCTTCATGCAGGCAGTATTTCCTGGTTATATTTTCTTATCCGATAAGGAACTAACAGATCTACAAACATTTACGCCCCCCCCCCCTCCTCTAAATATAATTCATATTAAAAAAACAAACATTTTATATGAACAAAATGGAATATTTCCTGTATCTTTTGAATCTCAAATTTGAATATGCCAAAGAAAGAAATTTGTGAGCAAAACTGAACTGAGGGCCGCTGAAAGAGATATAATCATGGCACACATGTATGGTCAAACCTGTCTTAGTTGGCCAGCACCTCTCTACAAAGGCAACCTGTCTATTGTGGCCATGTATTTTGCCTCCCACAAGAAAGAAATATGTATTGTAGAACCTGTCTAGAAAGGCCACTTGTCTACATGCAGTGGCCATTTTCTCTGTTTCCTTTGGTTGGCCCCAATAGACAGGTTTAACCGGATTTGAAAATCACTTCATTTATGGGCCGGAATCCCAATGGTGGATGAATGGAGTTGTGTTCCTACAGAAGGACCGTTCACAGGGGAGCATAAGTGTTAACCCTTTGGCCAATGACTTCTCTTATTCCCATAGGCTTAATACAGGGGCCATCCGGTTCCGGTAGGTAGAGGGTTAACCTACCTGGCAGACGTCATTGAGTAGCTGATGTGGTTTGATGTGTAACCTCGATGTGAGCAGGAATGCAAACAGATACGTCCTCTGCAAGAACAAAAGAAAATATGGAGAAAAAAATTATGATAGAATGATACTAGATTTGGTATTGAATATGAAATGATCTGTGACATTGAGAGAGATAGAGAGCATCAGTGGAGCTTGGCAGAATCCGGCTGTGTAAACAGTAATGGTAGAAATGATTGTTTTACGTCAGCTCTTCTATCAGAACTAATTCTGCTCACTGAAATGCATGACTACAAATAAATGTTTTTCATCTCAAACATTTCTCTTTTCAAAGTAACAGCTTAATTTGTTGCAAGATGGATTTTTTTTTACTGGCAACCTAGCTAAAATGGGAAAATGGATTGAGTATTAAAAATAAAATTCAAAATTAATACAAATTAAAAAAACCTCTGCTTATCTTCAGTCAGGTATAGCAATCAAGAGATCTTTGATACAACAACATAATTTTTTTCTCCATAAACTAACTAAATACTAAATTCAACATAAACATACACCTGAGAAGGATTCACAAAATAGTAACCTGTGACAAAAGGAAAAGCCACAACAATGTGTGGGAGCTCGACTAGGATTACTACTTTTGACACTCCCTGCCTCAAATCTGGTTGCCACGGCAATGGCATTGTCACAGGTTCATGGTCATATTTTTAGCCTCCACAGACTGTGACGTCTGCTGTGGCCGCAGGGTGAGTTACGCCTCTCGGGAGCGATTAAGAAAGGTCAACTTTCCGGAAGTGGGAAAATCAGGGCTGGACTTCTGGGGCAGATCGAGAGTCTGTGCTCCCCACTGGCCTGATGTGATGAGTTAGGATTGAAGGGTGGGCTGGACATGGACATGAAGACAGGATACATGGATAATTGATAAAAGCTACCTTCAATAGGGGTACAAAAGATGGACAATCGATAAAAGCTATCATTAGAACGGGGCTTCATATGATACAATTGTTAAAAGCTACAATGAAAAGGGGTAAAGGAGATGTACTATTATACATGTAGTTCATGTTCAATTGATAAAAGCTACCATGGAGAGGGGAAATTGAGTGTTTACTTGTCTGGAGAGGGGTATCACATTACTAGGGCTGTCTGCAGGTGAGGCAAGGATATGAAATCAGGAAAGGAGGATAATTGATACAAGCTACCAAGGAAAAGGGGGAGGTAGGATAGATGCATGTTAAAAGCTATGATGGAAGGGGGTAAAAGATATATCAAGATCGGGGCCCTTTTCTTGACCTGGCTTCAAGTGGGGTGAGGATATGGGATCAGGAAAGAAGCATAATTTATAAAAATTCTCTGACCGATCCCCGGATCATGCGTTTCACTGTCATCTTTGTTGTGTGTCTGATCGATACTGTCAAAAGTTGTTGACTTATAGGCCTAGTTAGTCTAAGCCAGAATAGCTATTTTTAGAGGGGCGACCAGTGAAATTTTCTCAGGTGATATAACAGGTGAACTCTGACTGTAAAGTTCTCTTCATTTCAATTTTCGTACCCACTGAAAATACTATAGCAATCCACAAAACAACAGCAAAAATGCCATGTACCATACTCTGAAAAACACAAACAAATCCTTCTACAAAAACATCTTTCTGCTATCTTTCACGTGATCAATACATAGGAAATCCAAGTGATATAATTGTTAACCAACGTGTCTACATGCAGTTTGGTTGTATTATTTTATTTTCTATTCTCCCTTCTTCCGAGGTACCTTCTCGGAAGTTCATGGATCCATGAAAAGTACTCAATTCATTTGATTTCACACCACTGAATTGAAGCAGTACATTAAACGCCTACGCAAAAGCAATAGCACCTGAAATATCAAAGCGAACAAAAATTTGACATTTCCATCAAATTCACTCATGGAATTTTGAAAGCTGGGTAAAATACCACTGCACTTCGCTGCCTCTTTCTTATTGGTAGCGGCTAACGATTTCTTTAGCTGACATTTCTACGATGAAATTACAAGGAACAGACAGACCTTGAAACTCCATTGCATGTACAATAATTTTTTCATTATCACTACAATGCATAGCCAGACGTGTCAGTAATATTAATGTTGGATTGTGATAGTCTAAAATTCCAGCCCCTTTCTAAGGGTGTCGTTTGCATTTTTTCAAACCACACAGAAAATACCAATAAAAGGTGCAAATAAATGGAAGATAAGCTCAAAAGAAAAACATTCTCCTAGTCAATCACTGTCAAGCTGATTGAACTGTGACCTCTTCTTCTTCTTCTTTTTTAAATAGAAATGGATGATTTCGTGCATGATAAAACTTGTCTAATCTTTCTATAGCGAGAGGGTTGGTTAGAATCACAATCGCTTGATTACCCATTTGTACAGAGGGGCCTCAAATGAAAATGGGAGGGGCACTCCAGAACGAACCAAAAAACAGTTTAAATACAAAGTAAAATCAAGAATAATGATTTTTTTTAAATCGATGGTTTAGAAAGGTACAATTAAGGGTGTCTCAACTTTATTTTGTACATCCATTGTCTACTTGTGTATATTGGATGCTATCCAAATTGTCTTTTCATCCTCAAATTTTGGTACTCCTTATTAGTCATCTCCTTTCGAGAGTTATACATCGTATGAAAACCAGAAGAAAAACTTTTTTGAAGAATTCAGCTCTAATGGAGCCCTATCACAAAAGAGAAAAGTGGACTTACATCTGGGTAGTATGTTGCCGTGGGAACGAGATGCTGTACAAAAGCCTCCAGTGTCCCTGACGTGAGGATGCCATCTTGGTATACCAATGCCTGCACAAAAACAAAAAGGAACAAACAAATAGAGAACGTTTAGTTTCAAATCCATATTATTTCAATAACTAAAACAGTTAAAATTCAAACAAGGTACACAGCGCTGCAACAAAAATAATGAATATATTTTTATAATCAAGGTATGATACTTTTCCACGAACTTCTGCAAATGAAGAAAAACATACCATCAGAAGACGGAGCAATTACTGATTATCCTACAGATTGCCAAGCAAGACCAGCAGTATGGTCCTAACACAAAATATCCTCTGGATACTGTAACAGACACTCTCCAAACAAGTATCCAATCTCCTCGTGTTCCATGAAGACTTCCATCAATACAGGAGCAACGTAAGCTGCACGCTGTTTATTTTCCCCATAAAACAAAACCTACATCCAGTTTGATGTCTTCCATGAAAGACCAGATCAAACAGACACAGTTGCAGTTTTTATTAGACTGTCATCAGCCTGATTCCTCTTTCAATAAACATTTGTAACCTTTCCACTTTCTATACTCATACTCGAAACTTCCCTCTGGTTCTACGACTTCTATTCACAATCAAAACCAAGTTCCAGGGCAGACAGTTACGACAGATTATTCTGTCAAGCCAATTTTTTCGGAGAAGAGTCAAACACAAATAGATTTCTTCACAATACAATGTGATGTTCAAGCAAATAGAGAGTTGTTTTTACACCAGCGAGATTTACAACATAATCCTCCAAAGGTTAAAGGTCAATCGCTGATAACTTGGCTGAGGGAAAATCAACAACATTCCTGTGGTGTCTTGGGACCTGAATTCCATGCATTTCTGACCCTACGTGACCTTTCTCTCAAGTTTATCACCATGGATACCCCCATGCACTTGGAGGTTGGGACTAGGAGAGTAAATAAGTCATAGGACTAACATGGCTTTGTGTAGTCTTGGGGCGCGTTCATGCTTGATTTTGACGGCCAGAATCAGGCATCTGTTACGCGTTTAGTTTAAAACACGGTTGCGTCTTAGCTCACTTTTGTAGAATCACCGAAAAACGGCGATCACGATCGCCGATCGTAAACTCACAAAAAGATGCGTTTACAATTTGTAAACGCGTTTAAATGGGGTCAACGCACTGACCTCTAGTGGGTCTACGTAGCATGCACAGTGAAGGTTTGCGAATCCAGCTGGAAGACCAATTAAGGCCACACACGGAGAATTGCCTGGGGAGCCAGAGAAGTAAGCATGAACACTACATCGTGGAACTGCGATCACGATGAGCGTTTACGATGAGCGTTTCAGATCGCTCATTCTGCCTTCAAAATTTAAGCATGAACGCAGCCTTGGTCTGAGACAAGAATCATGAGGTATAAAAGTTTTCTTTTTAGTGCAATACATCAATATCTCTTTGGTATATACAGAAAGATATTTTTATATGTACATGTAGTTCAAATTCAATTTTGGTTTCTCTGCCTAATTGAATCTGCAGCTGATTTAAAGTTTGTTCTGGGAAATAATCAAAATGTGTAGGTAGGCATTATTTTTGTACACATACGTGTAGATGCATGCATGCTGTTCATGTATATACATCTTAATAACACATTCAATTTATTCAATGTATGGGTCTAATTGTGGCCCACTTAATTCATGACCACATGACTAACAAGCACTAGTAAGATATCCTAGAAAATATTACAAAATTAAAAAAATCACACATTTAAGAGTTGCTGAACTCTACAAAGCCAAACTCTACTCTCAGACCAGCAGTACGGTAAGTGACCACATCATTATATTCCAAACACTTTACAGAATCACTTTGAGGAATCTACCAGTCGTTTCAAACCACCAACAACTCTCTTGGTGTTTGCATCATTCACTATGATAATGATGAGCCTTACCAATCAACACATGAACAAACTTTGAAAGAGGAAGCCTCAAAACAACAGTTCGCTAACCTAGATAGAGTCTTACTCATCCCTTGATATAGAAGCCACTTTTCCCACAAGTCATGACTCACTTTAACCACTATCAAAATAACAGAAACCCGTGTTTTCCCCATCAATAAACAAAGAAAATATTGATAGGGCAAAGATGGTGTACATGTGTGGCATTATGAAAGTTGAGATAGTATTGGTGTCCTTCTAGAGCCACCATCAGTGAATGAACTCCATGTTTATTTGCCTTCTCTCAAAATTTCATCAAATATATACAGGTAGGTACGTTTTCTATCCCATATGCCTACCCATTTCAAATAATTTCTTTCTTTCGCTCAATTAAACAAAAATGAACATGTACATCATTTCAAGTATAAAACTGTATATACAGTCACTTACAGTGAAACAAAAAACCAAAAAAAAAACAAAGCTAAGTTGAGTTTCTCATTCCTGTATCTGCATGATGTAGCCCCAATATTGTTGTTTGTTTTTTTGGTGCAAGTCTGAAACTGCCTCTGTCTCTCTTTTATAATTATCAATTTATTTCTGTTCAAGTTTTTCAAACTCCATCCCCTCCCCGTCCTATTATTCTAAGCAGGTCACAACATTCAATTGCACCAAAATCACTGTCCTCCCCCCAAAAAGTTCAAAAGTTCTCCCTTTGCTTTGGTAAGCAAGTTCAACTTCAAAAACAGCAAATGGCAGGGTGATTGCTGAAGCAAAAGTTGTTTTAATCCCGGTCCAGCGCCAGTCTTTGCATTGTGACAGGAAACAACAGGAAATGGCCCGGATCTACTAGCAAATAAAGAAAACTGCTCCCAGCATTGTGCAAGAAGACGATGGAAATTTTTCAGTTTTCACACACTGCCACATATTTCTGTCAGAAATTGTGACCTACAATACCAGAGAAATTATTTTAGAGTTTGGAGCTGGAGGCACCAAACAAAAATGATTGGCTGTCACAATGTGCATGGACTGTGTGAGTATAGAATAGGGATTGAAGTTCAACCAAGGAGTTACTCCTTGGGACAACCTCAACCCAATGATCTACTGTGAACTTCTTTCTGTTCTAATAGCGGAGCGAGAGCAGATAAATTTCACAGTTGATCAATTAAAAAAATAACGGACAATCTAGGCTTGTGCAATATTACATACAGAAAGAAATAGTACATTTGATAAACATGTACATGTAATTGTCTTTAAAAAAAAAGGAGACAAGCAATTGCTATGAGGTAGGAGTAGAATACCATACATTTGTATCATACACTAGCCTATACAGTGTGCATGTACATTAAGATCGTAAGATCTGCCAAGTAAAAGACAACTGTGGGAAGCTCCAGATAATTGTTAGACAACTGTTGAATCTCTAGACGAGTGTAGAGTCTATCTTACAAGACTTGATCAGAGTCAGTAGGGTATTAAGAGATAAGAATAAAAGCTAGAATCATTCACAGATGCTTACCAATGTATCCATATAAAGCAATTGAATAAATCAAGACTGGTTAAAAAAAGTTAATGTTTTATGGTCAAGCTCCTATCCTACAACTGATCAATCACCACATACCTTACTCTCTTGAAGAATAAGACCGAGCCTTTTCCGTTCTCCAATCTTAGTTGTTAATTCCTTCATCACTTCCTTCATGATGTGCACTATCTCCTCCAATAACAGATGCCAAATATAGACTTAAAAAGTCTTTAAATAGTCTCAAAAACAGGTTTAAAAATCCCTCAAGACAGACAATGTCGACAAAAAGAAAGCAGTGTTGCAACTCTAATGTTGAGTCTCGTAATTGATGATTAACTTCAACTAATTTTAAGTCTACTAGCAATGTGTTCATCAAGACTTCTAGACTGATGAATGCAGATGTCTGGATGTCAGCGTTGCCTTAAATAATCTTTCTAGGTTTCACTACCGCATGCGTATGGAAACCTCAACTTCACATATACCACCAGAACTGCTCCTCACTCTGTACACAAGGGCACTACCTATGGACGGACGGACGGAGAGGGAAAACACTCGCCTTGCGGTGAAATTCCCCTGCAACTTTGCGCACTTGGGACTCTTCCCCTTCAATATCAATGACAATTGATAGTATAGTATAGCCGATTAAAAATAGATAGTGAGATGGCATATCACGAGCTGTAGTAAGTACACTCAGCAGGCTATTATTCTAGCCTCGCTCCGCCCCCTTCCGCTCTCTTCCTCTCTCGGCAACGAGCTACGTAACGCAACTACTTCCCGCCAAGCTCCATATTAGTGATCACTTGATGATCGAAGCAGGATGTTTATAACCGTGGCTATTTTTGGTTTCAATTAATGTGTTTAATCTCTTAAGTGATCTACAATAAATGAGCTCAAGTGGTGTTTACGTGAGACTTACAATTGATGAAGTCATGAATAAATAACTATTAATAACATCACATGTATAGTTCTTTCTTAAAGACTGATACTGAAAAAGGGGTATGACCATGAAGTTGATTAATAATTCTTAAAAAAATTAATTTAGTAATCAAACTCATCTTCACTTTCAATACAAAATGCTTTATTTTATATAGGATGAATAGCGTGTGTGGGCGGGCCGTTTATAGTGGCATCCTCCCAGTGGAGAAACTTTCATTAATAGAATTTAAGTTAAAAAACATCACCTGACATGAAACTGAGAATGTCATTTAAGAAAGTAATCTTAATTATACATCAATAAATATATAAATCATGACCTAGTAACATTTTGTTGAATGAGGAATATATCTCATGATCAAACAAGTTTTTGAGTGACATGTGGTTTGGGGTAGAGCTTTACAACCATTAATTTTCTCTAATTCTCTTAAATAGTTTTTGTTCTATCTAATGTGAATATATACTATAGCATTCAGTGAACCAAATATTTAGTGCTTTAGTATGCAGTACACTACATTACAAGTATTTGTACTGCTACAATGGAAATGTGTCATTCAAAAGAAATCTGCAATGGAAATTCTGTTAAAATCTAATACATGATATCACTAAAGGCATAGAAACAACTTATAACTTAAAAGGTTTATTTAAAAGATTTTTTAATAATCATTTCAATCTTCAATAAATCAACTAATGAGG